CTTTAGAGAGAGGGTGTTGGACATGCAAGAATTTGATGATGAGAAGGAGTTGGTAAAGATGTACATTCAGGGGATATTTGATGAGTATAAGCTACACTTGAAGAATCTACCTCTCCTACTTGGTGGAAGCTACGAAGGACCAATAATATGGTTCTTAGACAAAAGGGACTCACTCGCTTAAGTAAAAGGAATACCCCAATGATGAATGCCATCCAATGAGGAGGTAGAGAAAAAAAAGGTATTCGAGCAAATTTGCGACTTAGAAAGAATGTCCAAAAAAAAAAACCAGATAAGGAGAATGACTTTTCTCCATCATTCTCAATACCTCTAGATAGAGTGAGGGCTCTTCTCTAAAAATGGTTTAAAGATGGATAGATAAATATACCTTACATTCCATAACCACCAACAGTAGAAGAAAAAGTCAACCTAAGGTACTGTTATTTTCATTGAGCAGTTGGTCATTCATTTGCTGAATGCAGAAATCTTCGAAGAATGTTCCATTGATGAGTGCAAACAGGAAAGGTATTGATTAGAAATAATAGAGTCCAAATAACCGTTTTATCGCTCATTTAAATCTTTAAGGGCAAGTAAGCGTAATAATTTACTCTCACCATGATGACCTTTTTTTTTCAAACACTCAGTTTAATAATGCAAGTGAAGATATTGTGGTTACTTCTTCGATTGGTAACTCACTCATGAAGACACCTAACTTTAGGCATTTCTTTAACCAACTTGGGTTTTTAGAAAAAGCAAGGAAAGAAATGGCTAAATCACTAGTTTAGATAGCTAGAAAACAGTATGGTGAGTGTAACTTAGTAGGACAACTTATGAGGAAGATGGTTGGCGCATATCAGAATGCTATTGTGTTTATAGAAACAGACATATGTACACCCCATCCTTATCATAATAAGCCCCTCTACGTGAAAAGCACTATCAATGGATATCCTATTAAGACGACATTCATTGGTGATGGTTCCTCAGTGAATCTCATACCTCAAACCACGAAGGCTATAAACATAGATTTAAAGAGTTTATGCCGTCCTATGATTATCACTTATTTTGATAACAAAGAGATCATGACTTTGGGTCAAGTGATGGTGAACTTCAAGATAGAGCCGATTAAGGATCAAGCATGTTTCCATGTTATTGACGCAAATGAAACTTATCATGCTCTAATTGGAAGGTTATTCTTGCACATGCACAAATTTATTCCTTCTTCACGCCATCAATGTATTAACGGACATTGGAACAGGAAGGAGATTTTCATTCCAACTACTAAAACAACATGTAAATGACATGAGGTGGGTTATATAGAGGTTTCTTTATTTGTGGATCCAACAAAAGTTGGGGAAACAACCATTGCTAGATTTGTGGGTGTTCCACTTCTGCTATGTGAAGAGTATGTTGGGAATAAGGCTAAGAATAGTGACAAGAAGAAAAAATGAGGTGGGAAGAGGAGAAAAGGAAACATTTCTACAAATAGGGAAATAAGTTAGGAAAAGATGTCTAATGGGGTAACTTCCTATGCACGTGAAGATGGAAAATTTGTGTATTTCTTATGATGGGACACAAGCTCTAAGGAAACATCTTTTCTTAACCTTATACTTTAGGAGCCACCGAATCAATCGCCATCATGTCTTCAGGTGGAAATGGAGAAAGAAGAAGTACAGGAGGTATTACCTGCATAAGAGCAACTCCAAGATCAACCCAAGCCTCGAGGTGATGAGTTGGAGGACAAATGACGGAAAAAGGAGTGACAACTAAGCCACTTTTCATAAGCAAGAATCTTTTTTATAAGCAAAGAGTTGCACTAATTGAATTATTGAGAGAATTCTAAGATGTGTTTGTTTGGACTTATGAGCAGATACTTGGATTAGATGAGAATCTCATCACTCACGAGTTACACATTTCTTAGCTTTATTCACTTGGCATAAATTAATATCTAGCTGTGAAAAGAGACTTTATTTACCAATAATATTTACAAGTAAAAATAAAATACAATGTATATATGAAAGATCAGATTCTGGGACAATAAGAAGAGGTTCACTTCATTGCAGTTTGCACAAACAAAAATCAAAGTGCTGAGCACTCACTAGATCTAGTGGATGGGATCATCAAACTTACTTAAGCAGTATTGTTCCCTATAATTAATTGTTTGTAACTTGATTTACGATCTAAAACAACCTGGCAGCTTATCCTATTGTTCTATTGTCACACATCTAGAGCAACAAGTTTATTAACTGCTCATTCCAAATCAGCAACTACGTACCAGGTGCCTAAATAGAACATTTTAATAACTGTCTATACAATGTTGTCCAAGCTGCTCCTCTAGTTGTTAAGAATATGAGAAGCCTTTACTGTTAGGCAATCAAAACCAGCATTCTTTTTTATGTGGACACCTTTTATACACTTTGAAAATGTTCAACAAACTAGTGGACATTCTGTACATATTTTCACCGGTTACGTACCATTTGTAAAATTCAGTCTATTAAACCAAAATCTAACAACTAAACAAGCAGGAAAGCTTCCGTCTAACTTCCTTATACTACAAAACCTATTCATTAATGATGGAGAAGACGAATCAGAACTCCTCAGAATTTGATCTCCAAGGTCGGTGCAGTGACAGATAGGTAGATAAGAAAGTTCTCTTATGCAAAAGAGATTATTCTTCCTCAAGTTGTGCCTGCAATTTCCTCGGTTCTGGCCAGATTAGTGATCATCATTGGTACTTCTTTTGATAATTCCTACCGGGAATAACTAAAAGCGAAAAGTTGCTTTAAAAATTCCTTGTGCTTTTGCTGTTTCTCAACTTGCAAATGCTTGTCCTGCTTCTTCATTTCTTCATTACAATCTCTTCAGTCCACAAAGTTGGCTGATATTATTAGATATGACGGTCACGAAAGGAAAGGAATTAGATTCGATCTCATCTTGGGGATAACAACATTGGGCTATAAAATGCAACTGATAACACGAGTGACACAAATCAAATACCTTGATATCAATTTTCTGAGCCTGAAACTGACTAGGATGTCGTACGCTAGCCCTAAGCACCATGCCAAGCACCCTAGGGTCACCTGGGGGGATACCTCATATGAATACCAGGTTTATGCTACCACGAGAGAGCCAATGCCATATCAATCTTATGGTTCGTGGGACTATCCTAATGAGAAGCAGCGTAATCTTGATGCTCCGAGGACTCAAATGACAGATTATGAGTATTATCCTCAACTTGTCAAGACTACTGAAAAATATCGGGTTGGGGAAGATGTTAACAGAGAAGCTGAGGACTTCATCAAGCTAGAGCACAAGAAGTTCGCACGACTGAGTACATCCACGTCTATGAAGACTGACTGAGAAGAAGAGTGGCCTGGCGCTTCCAATCAATAAGCTCTACAAGGTTGTAGAGCATTAATAGTTATGATCAGAGCTTCCCTCTTGCAGATTTTAAATCTCATTTGTGTCACATATGTGCTTTACAAGTTTATTTCTTTAATCTCACTCGCTTTTACATATTAGATTATCTAGTGTCTATAATAAATTATTGAATCAGAGTTTGAAAGCACCAAGGGAAATTAAAGCATGTGCTTCTTCTAGATCCAGCCTATATATTGCCTCGATTCTTTTGTAAATTACAGGGACACCCTGTTTTGATCAATGAAAATCTTTACTTAATCAAAACAAAAAAAAATATATTGCCTCGATTCCTACTGAAAAGAACTTGAAATCCCCCTACCAAAGAAAGAAAGCTCCCCAAACTTTCCTCTGCCCCAAAGTAACTACTTACATTTGATTTGCCAGTTCTTTTTCCTTTTATCTTTTGTTTCCCAAATCTATCAGATAAACTGTGGGAAGTTAAATTATGTTTTGCGAAAATATACTCAATACCAACCTAGACCCCTTTTCTTTCAATTTACCATATTACTAGAGAGTACCAACCCTAAATTTTCTTGGTAGTGTATAGCTGATCTTCGTGGCTGTCCAAAACGAACTCCAGATTTTATATGGTTAAGCTTACACAAAGATTAGGATTGTAAATCCAGGACAATTATTCCTAAATTCCCAAACTACTCTTCAAATACTCAAGGTGTAGATAATTAAGAATGGTCTGGATTTTGCTGATCCAGAAACCAACCAAGTGTCCTCATCCAATCCACTTGAGCAGCTTTTGGATCCTCTCTGGGGATATAAATGATGTTCATGTAGTTATTTAATTAACAAAAGCAATTCCCAATTGTACAAGCTAGCAATACTAAGATGATTTTGGACCTTACATCTGTTGCCTGCCATGGATCCTTCTTCAGGGTTCCAGGCCTGATCTTTGGGCAAGGTTCCAAAATTTTGCCAGGCAGGTCCAAACGGGACAGTAACAGCATAGAAGATGTAAACATCTCCTTTAGAATGCAAAAAATGCACGAACCTCTGTCTCAATTAGTTCCAACAGTATCCCAATAGAGGAAAAAGACAATACCCATTATTAAGCCAGACAGCCTTTACACCATATAAAACTAATTTTAGAGAAAGCACAACCACTCGATTCCGCATCAGCAGGTACTACCTAGTGAAATTCCCTGTGAATCTACGGCAAGAACAGAACCAGAATATTGGATATCCAAGACTACATTATGAAGCTTGTTAGAGATAGCTCGAAACGATATACTCCAACAATGAACCTGTAACTAAGAGTTGACTGGTTGAAGCAGCCTTTCACGCACGTTTCCAAAAATTCTTCACAACTGACCTGAATTTCTTCGGCAGCAGAGACATTAAAAGGCCGTTTCCTTTGCACAGATGCGGGCCCATCATTAACAATTAGAGAAGTCCCTAAAACGGCAGATTTTTACATTTTTTAAAAGAATAAATCTTATCTGATATCATATACATTACATTATTCACACCGTTTTCTGAAATATAAAAGGTCACTACACTGATACTCGAAATTTTTGTCCCACGTCTAAACTTGGAATTAAAGTGAACTGGCAATATAAAAAGGCACAAGGGAGTTCCAAAATTCTTCAATCCCTTCATTGTTTTATTATTCTTATACTGTTTGTGGTACATGTATACGCTGTAACACACAGAGAAGCGAGGGAAAGACCAGGACTGTTACGTTACACTACACAACGTCCTGGTGTTCCTGCTCAAAAATGAACCTTACGAAGGGAGAAAAAGAAGAAGAAGAAGATAAAAGAGTACATCTGAAATCAGAGGGTGAGAAAACAAGAGTATTCCTCTCTAAATAACTGAAGCACTACCGTTTCTAGTGAATAGATCGACAGAGAGGGCATGTACTATGCTTGTTATCAAACCATTTCTCCAAGCAACCTTTGTGGAAGAAATGCTTGCAAGACAACTCACTCACCTCCTCATCTGCTTCAAACCCACATAAACAGACGCAACACTCCACGGTGTTAGCCCGTCCACTGCCACTGCCACTGCCACTGCAAGAACAAGCGCTAGCAGCTGCTGAAGTAGAAGAAGAACCCTCACATATCGATGACTCCCTGGTGTGGCACAAAGACTTAAACTGGGTTATTGATATCCTTCTCTCCCTTGCCTTAATATTCTCTTCTGGGTACCCATCTGACTCATCATCTAAACTTGAAGAAGAACTCCCGCTTGCACCCACTACTTGGAGCAAAGATCTCAACATGTTTTTCAGAAAAGCCACTGACAGAACCGTGTTCATTACTAGCACTGGAAGTACCCCTTCAGCTGCACTAGGGAAGCTTGACAGTCCCATGCCTTGGTTTTCCTTTAGTTATGTCTTGTTTATGCTTCTTTCCGACAACCCAACAAAAGCAAAACCAAAACAAAACTCACTTTCTCTCTTCTAAAATTCAGGAAAGAAATTGAATTTATGGATAGGCTAACAGGAAAGAGTTAATTTCCAGGTGAGGGAGACAAACAAAGGCAGAAAACGAAGAAGGGGAAGCAATCTGCTTCCGCATAACATAAAAGCCAAACTTGGGCTGGGGTGATAAATACATGAGCTCACGCTAACCACCAGTACGCTAACCCTGGTTCACGATCCTTAACCAGGGGTGGGTGGGCTCACTAGGTACACGTGGCGACACGTGCAGGTTTGCGAAAGGTTGGTGATGTGTGCATTCAACGATTAAAAAAAGGGTTAAAAAAAACTTGTTGCGTCGGGAAGGAGAAGGTTAAATTCTGAGCGGCCACGTGTCTGTGAACTTTGTTATAGCCAATGAGAAGGTAGCACATGGCAAATGGTGGATACCTTGTAGGTCGGGGGCAGGAAGTTTCTTGCTTCCCGGGAGCCGCGTAAGTTTGCGTCAACCGCTCAATGATGAGGTTTTCTTCTTCGGGATTTTAAAAGCACTTTTTATTTTTTATTTTATTTTGTGACTTTTTGGTCAGCTACTTTTGGAGTTGTGTCGGTAAACGCAAAGAATGGGATGATGAGATGAGATGAGAGCAGAGGCGTCTTCTTGTTGTTAGTAGTAAGGGAGAGGATGGGTGGTATTAAGACGTATTAAGCATTCATTCTAATTAAACAAAGAATGGAAAGTGAAGCAAATGTTACCTTCCTCTTATAGATTGCATCTTCTTTCCCTTTTCTTTTTTATTAATTTGAAAGAAATCAAGCATAGGTCCAACAAAGACTAGCAAGAAGAAGCCGACTGAATATCCATGAGGAGGATAGTAGACAATAACAGTAATGCCCACCCTCTACATATAAATGTAGCCATGAGGAGGGGAGGGAAACAAACTTTCCAAGAAATTATTCCAAAGGCAACAGAAAAACGAGAAACATTGATACAGTAACAGCAATGCCCCATCCCCATGGCCATGGATGCTTTTACTTTTGACCTTAAAACACATGCATACCATTCCAATTTCACATAGACACGACTCAAGTGAAATTCCTCCATTACTAATAAACTTAAAAATCCATGCTGACTACTTGTTTCTAGAGGTTGTATAAGGTATGCCATCTTGTCAGCTAAGACTTTTTATTGCACCAAGCAAAACGTGGATCGAAGGCCACGTTTTCAACTTTAAAGAAAATCTCCCCTCCCAGATGTGGGTAAATTTTTTTTTTATATAATTTTTTTCTAGCTGGTTAAATCATCAACGGAACAAGACGGAACTTTGTTCAAAAGTTTTACACTAGAAAACAAAGCATGGTCCCTTTCCAAAGATCACACAGCCATGTGAGCCCTATTCATATCCACACATCTTATCCTCGTGGACACGGCGTGCACCCCATGAATTGTCCATTTTCTGGAAATGGAGAGAAAACTACGTTTTCACTACACGAGAAAATTCAGTGACAGAGAAAAAGAAGGCTACGGGAACAAGAGGGGTGAGGACAGAAAAGGATCCTGCTTATTGCTAATTGCTATGACTTGCAAACACAACTCTTAAATCATTTCCCAAACAAGAACTATTGTGCTTGATAAGACCCTAGACAAAGAACAGGGTTTTCAAATGTAGGCCATGGAGGCCAAGTTTCGTGTGAGAAATGGAACTGAGGAATTGTTATTATTATTATTATTATTATTGTGGTTTGAGGACCCAAGAGTTGTGATTATTAGTAAATAATTGTTACAAATATAATGTTGGATTCTACAAATTTTATGTGAAGAAGAAAAAGAAGAAAAAATCTAAGTAGGTGTAATAGTAATAACGAATGTATACAGTCAGGCTTCTAGTGTTGCTCTTCTGCTAATGAGATGTTGAATTTAGCCGCTTAAAGTATGCTTTTTCCGCCCTTGAAAACCGCGTTTGAAATATAGTCCATTCCTTTTTGCATCTCTCCCTTACCTGGCACCAGTTCATTATAGTGATATCAGCCACCCTTTTCATATAAATTAACTTAAAATCACAATTAACAAGCTCTTTTAAGCAAGGAAGGAAGGAAGGAAGGAAGGAAAGTTTTAACATAGTGCATACCCCTTGCCATGGTGCCTTCCCATTTTGTGCCTCTCCCTACCAAAAGCAAATTCTCAGGAATTCTGACACATATAAAACAATACAAAGAAAATACACCAGAAATGGGAAGATGGAGGAAAATTTCTGCTTACCTGGTTCCCAAGAGAGGGAACAGATTGATGAACAATCCACTGAGAATCTACAACTCCAATCTTCTCATGTGCGGGCTGTTTTCAAGACATATATCTACTTAGTAAAAAGTTTTGAGTGTAACCCAATCACTGACCAAAGATTTTTTTTGTAAGGAGTTGGGGGAACACACACACACATAAGCACAGAGATTAAAGAAAGACAGCGAAAGATGACAACAGCCAGGAGCAGCACGGTGCTAACCTCTACACATTTTCTGAGGGCAAAATCAAGACCCCAGCCGTGGACTAAGTCATTCTGCAAATTGCCCAAGAAAAACAATAATATGAGTATGCCAGGGAAAGCAATGTTAAAATTGAACAACATTAGTACACCCTCAATACCTGAATCATATGCCATACGCATCTCCATGCATCTCGTGAAAACACAGGAGCCATTATCTCAACAAACCTACATTTGTGAAAGAAAAAGAATACTAATATTTACTAAACCTATGGAGAACCAAGATATAATAACAAACGATAATGCTCAAAGCTATACATACGCTGCACAAGGAGGAAGATGTGGATGATTACACCAGCCCGGTTTCTCCTCTGTTTCTCTAAGCCAAATTCAGAAAATGAAAAAAAATTATTTCTCATTCAATAAATTTATCTAAAATCCAGGATTCTTGGCATAATTGCCCCATTATTCTTACTTGTGAACTTCACGATCACCTCTTCTCTTTGTCATTTGCCAGGTTAAACCTTTATTCGGTTCCAGACCAGGCTGTGAAATCTCCAGTCCATACTTCCTCACCAGTTTAATGTATCTGAAAAAAAAAATTGAACCATGTTATTTTCGTTTTAAAAGGAAATTGGTCAAAGTAGAACAGAGTATATTTATTAAGTCATGTGATGTCCAACACTCACTCTTCTGCATTAAAATGCTCAACCCCCAAGTCTTCATCCCAGATAAATATGTAGTCATATGGCGCGATGATGTCAGGGTGCAAAAACCGCTTGGCATACCACCTAGGTAAACAAAAACTTTATGAGAGTCACAACTTTAACTTTTTAAGCAACACAAACAATAACCAGTCATTGCATTCCATTATGCCAGCAAAAGCAGGACTTGATTTTGTTAATCTACAGTATATTCTAAATAAAACTACTCACCATTTGGTTTGCCTCCGAACACTCACATGTATTGCCTGCTTTGACCACTCAAACTCATCCCATTCAGTTGTTCGACCATCATAATGAAACAGAAGGATAGTAAAATTCCCTGAAAACTGTTGGAAGCACATATTTAGTCACAACTTGCAATGTGCACCACAAACTCATAAGCATGCACAAAACTCCATTCCACATCAGCATCCTACTTAGCCTGCATATGTGTGTGCTTTTGTGCCAATGTGAACACAGATGCATGTTCAAATGCTCAAGCGCACACAGGCACACATTCATACACATGCACACATGCAGATACATATAGAGAGAAAGAGAGAATATTACCTTTTTAACTGCTGCATCAATATTCCTTCGTTGATTATAACCAACCGTAAATGTGACGAGATACTTTGGCGTGCTGGTCAAATCCTACAGATGCCAATACTGTCAAACCCAACCAGGGTAAAAAAAAACTAGCAATATGTATTATTCTTACATAATATATGGACTGGTACAAACTATAATGGTTTTTAATTACGTTAATACAGATTAACAACTCAAACAACCACTCAGACATTAACATTTGCTTTTCTGAGATCCTGCAATGTATTACGCATCTTGAAAAAGGTTTTATGTGAAGAAACCAAAGATGCAGATATTCTTTCATTCCACAGAAACAATATCCTTGCTCCCTTGACTGTAATTCCTTTTTCTTTCTTTGCAGGCTAGATGTAAGAGAGTAATTTCAAAGATCCAAGTTAACTCACTCAAAATACCAAGATACATTACTACCATTCCCCCTCCCTTTATCCCTAGGCATTGATATCAATATCTGTCACACATTTAATATAGTCTTTTGTTTCGGTTATAATTTAGCAAATGCCCTGAAACGAGAAGAACAAGATGCTTTGTACCAAGAGATGTTTCCAACAATTCCAAAAGCTGCTTTTTTATTTATAAAATATATTCAACTGAAACCAAAATAATTTATCTTCACATACCAGAGCTAAAGATATGTGTGCATTAGAAAGTTGCAAGAAATTCAGGGTTCAAAATATATTACATAGAAAAAGGTCCTAGAAAACATACCTCACTAGGTTTGCCCCACAATCTGCGTAAGTATAAGTCTGACTCAGCTCTAACAATTCCTGGTGCTAGTCTTTCTGCACCTCGAGGATTTGATGGGACCCAAATCTACATCAGAATCACAAAGGAAGCACCAAAAAACAGCAGGTTAGAGTAGTAGCATATTATTATAAATAGGTCCTACAAAATCATCAAACACAAAATCACATCATTTAGGCACATGGTAATAGTAAAAGATGGATTTAAATAACACATTTGGATATGCCAGCAATAAAATAAAGCAATGGTCTATCACAGTACCACATAATAGACACACAACTCTTAACCATACATAATAGGTCCTATAGATGATAGATGCACATAAGAATTTCATGCATAAAAACATGCTACTCTAAAATGAGAATGGGACAACATCTTTTTGACATATCTAGGTGTTTTATTCAGTTTTCCTGATGGATAATCATATTATAAATGTAAACCAAGGGAACAATATATGAACTAACATGCAAACTATAGGGTTTAAGTATTAGTTACCCAAATCAATGAATGACAATATAAGAAATGGATTGCAGAAAAGGAAATAGAAAATATCTATGCATTCAGGAGCTTGAATGGCATGTGCAGCATTAAGACAATTCCCTATTTGCCCAAG